GAATAGATTTAAACTTTATCGAGCCACATTTTACTATAAAATTTTAAAATACAAATCTCCACCCTATTTATATGAGAAAATAACTTATCGCACCGATATACATAATGTGAATCTACGCAGGAAAAATACTTTAAGAATACCACAACACCGAAAAGAAATATTTAAACGTTCATTTTCTTATAATGTTCCGAATTTATTAAACTCTTTAGACTTTTCAAATATTGAACTGTCATGTCATACTTTCAAAAAACAATTTAAAAAATATTTACTTCAGTGTCAGTAAATAAATTTAAACAAAAGTATCTAATAATTGAAAAAAAAATAAAAAAAAAATAAAAATAAAATAAAAACACCACTCCGTAAACATTGCAATAGCCCCTCTATTTCCTATTTTTCCTACCATTGTCCTCTCCTTACCCTTAAGAATTGTGTTTGGAATCAAGGTAATTTTTAATAATGATGGATCGTGTAGTTGTATTTTTTTTCTCGCAGTTAATAATGTTTTAAAATTGATATAATATTAGATTGTCATTTTAAATTGAGGCCTGAACAGTATCTGGTACTTCCAGATGTCTGCATATTTATTAAGGCCTATTGTCGGCTATAAATGCATGTGTTACTTTTAGAATAAAATTATAAACCATTTTTGTAATTTATGGCATTATGACAATAAATGTATTATTATTATTATTATTATTATTATTAAAAGAAAACCTCACTTTCAGATTCACCCTGTATAATAAAGTAAAATAGGCCTCTATAGCAGGTGACCTCAATAAATGTTTTATGCAAGATATTCGAAACGTGTATATAATTAATATATTCACAATAATAATTTGAATTTTCCTGTTTTGCGCTTTTTAGCCTCAGTGGAATTTATTTACATATTGCTGGTTATTTGTGTGATTGGTTATTAAACAAACAAAAAAAAACTTTTTTGGGAGTTGTGAAATTATTCACCTAGTTTTATCTTCTAAACAAATACGAGCATCAAACTGCTAGAGCAGGGCCGGATTTTACACTCGTGCGACTCGTGCGCCGCACGAGGGCGGCAGCCCGAGGGGGCGGCATATTCTATCTAGGTATATTAGTATATTTTTATACAGAATTTAAAAAAAATAGAGACAAATACCTTTGAACTATATTGCACGAACAGGCGGCCAGTTGTTGGGACGCGTGCTACCTGCCAAGTGGTACGAGCACCCCGGAAAAGTAGTACGAGCCCTCTTGGCCAATCAACTACTAGCGATAAACAACAAACGGACCACCCACGGATAGGGCTCCGTCAAGTTAGCCCCCCCACATTTAAATTTTCTAACAAAATTTCAACCACTTACTGGGCCGATAATATTTCGAACTCCGTTACGATACCAAAGTTATAGGAAAAACAAGATGAGAGGCTAACTTTGACGCTCAGTCTCCCCAAAATTTTGGAAATCAGGTAAAACAAAAATGGATTCTTATGCAATTGGAAGTGTGCTGAACTGTGCTGTATCAGGTTTTTCTCAAAATTTTCTTATTCGGTCATTTTCCCACAAAATCCTACTGAGGGGCTAACTTGACGCTCAGCGCCCTCAAAGTTTTGGATATCAGATCAAACAAAAATGGATTCCTATTCAATATGAAGTGTGCTGGACTATGTGGTTTTTCTCAAAATTTCCATATTTGGTCATTTTTCGATAAAATCCTACTGGGGGCTATGACGCTCAGCCCCCCAAAATTTTGGAAATCAGATCAAACAAAAATAGATTCCTATTCAGTCTGAAGTGAAGTGTGCTGTAGCAGGTTTTTCTCAAAATTTCCACACTCGGTTATTTCCCAACAAAATCTTACTGGGGGGCTAACTTGACGCTCAGCGCCCCCAAAGTTTTGGATATCAGATCAAACAAAAATGGATTCCTAGTCAATATGAAGTGTGCTGGACTATGTGGTTTTTCTCAAAATTTCCATATTAGGTAATTTTCCGACAAAATCCTACTGGGGGGCTTTGACGCTCAGCCCCCCAAAATTCTGGAAATCGAATCAGCCAAAAATGGATTCCTATTCAATCTAAAAAGTAGACAAGACAGAATTTTATGTTTTTGTAGGGTACACTTTAATATAGCGAAATCCGTTCGCAAAAATAGTGCGACACTGGTGTGGCATACTCCAAGCGATTAAATATTTGCACTGATGCACATTGGATAAGAATCCATTTTTGTTTGACTTAATTTCAAAAATTTTGAGGGGCTGAGCGCCAAGCTATCCCCCTCCCCCCCACCCCAGTAGGATTTTATCGGAAAATGACTGAATATGAAAATTTTGAGAAAAACTTAATACAGCAGAGTCCAGCACACTTCAGATTGCATAAGAATCCATTTTTGTTCCATCTGATTTCCAAAATTTTTGGGGGCTGAGCGTCAAGTTAGAATTTGTCGAAAATGACAGAATATGGAAATTTTGAGAAAAACCTGATACAGCACAGTTCAGCACACTTCCTATTGCATAGGAATCCATTTTTGTTTGATCTGATTTCCAAAATTTTGAAGGGGCTGAGCGTCAAGTTAAATCCCCAGTAGGATTTTGTCCGAAAATGATCGAATATGAAAATTCTCAGAAAAAACTGATACTTACAGCACAGTTCGGCACACTTCAAATTGCATAAGAATCCATTTTTGTTTGATCTGATTTCTAACTTGACAGAGCCCCCGGATAGAATATTGTGAAAAATTCCCTTCCCCCGAAGCAAAAAGTTCCTCATGGGGGGCGGCAAAACTAGCTCTTGCACGAGGGCGTCCAAAGAGCTAGAACCGGCCCTGGCTAGAGGAATCTAATAGGCATTTAGGTCACTAGTCCAAGAAGTGGGCTCGCTTGATTGTACGTCTCCGCTACGCGTCGGCCTTCAAACGTCAAGCTCAGCACAAAAAAACCTTCTGGGCCGAATGGCATACAATATTTTATCTTCAAGCGACTGCAATATTACCTTTCACAACACTATAATTTCACTGATCTCAAAAATAAATGGATAAACAAAGAACGCTTCTAATGCTGCTAATTTACAAGGTCATAATGTAAACAACTGGGACAGCTGTGAGCGTGCGCAGTAGATACATGTACTGTGCGTGCGCAAAACATAGCCAATGAAAATGAAGTATATTTCAAAATTTAGAACAGTTGTTCGGAAAATAAACACTGCGCACACTGTTCGTAGAATATTGACCCCAAATTTTCGCACAAATTTAGCCAATCAAGCCATTCGATTGTTTATCCATTTATTTTTGAGATCAGTGTATAATTCAGGACTATGTTTTATTTTTAATTGTTTATTTACTAAATGGGAAAATGCCACCCCTACAAGTCCTACAACTCACTGCTATAGATGGCGCTCCGGTCCTGGTGTCCGGAGCACATCCTTTCTAAATAATAATAACATAACTACTTAAAATACAGACACGAGCAAAATAAATATGGAAATTTGTGATTTGTGAATAAATCCAACCCCAACGTCAGAACAAACATAATAGTTCGAAAACCGTCTAAACTACTCCCGACCACAGAGTATGAACCGATTGGATCAACATTGGTTAGTTCTTGAACACTTGAACTGTCAAACATCCGACCGATACAGTTTAACCGGAACACCCGATTTTAGTTCAAAAACATAGTCCCGAATTTAGTCCCACTGTTATTTTTGCAATAATTAAACATATTATATAGAACAAAAAATTTAAAACGAATAAATTAGTGCAAATTATGGATAAATTATGCCCTTGAGAACTTGGCGTTGACGCTGCAATTGTCATCTGGCGAGAAAGATAGGTACGCAAAATTGATCACAAGAACATAATAGCGCTGATTGACGCTGCTACCTCTAACGAGACAAAATCGAAAAAAATACCTCATACATAAAAAAATGTATGGTCCTAGGAACATAATGGATCACTTCTGCGTCGAGTGTTCACGACAATAAGGTTCGAATTATGGACCGCTTTGAGATAAATAAATATGTATAAACTTGTTCGGCTATGGAGTCAAAAAGCATTCTCAACATATTTTTTTTTCATGAAACCCGTGCGATCGGCTATAAGTGTGAGTGAAATATTTTATTCTAAAAATCCAAGCAAAGTTTCACAGCAAATGGCGGTGGTTATTCATGTTTCAATGTATGTGGCGTTTGTGTGTCAAAGGTTTCCATTAATAGCTTGCTAATAGTCATTCGTCCCATCCATTCCAATAATGAATTTGCTAAGCCTACAAAACTTGGTTCAGTTGATGCTTTAGTAAATAATGAATACTATAACAAAAAAGTAATAAATTTTTTTATAGATTATTCGTAGGTAGCAATTGACAAATCTTGATGACAGAAATGTAGAGGCTGTAAAATGAATTTTGTTTATGATCATGATTTTGGTTCTCGTTTAAAAACTACTACAGCAGTTTACAAAAGTCATCCAGAGGATATTATTGTCATGATTGCATTGGAAGACATTGTTTTTTTTTGTATTGTAAATGGCGAAGATTGAATGTAGAATGAAGAAATCGCAAAAGCAAGTTTTAACCGAATTTGCAGAAGACATTTTATTGCAAGCACACATGATAGGATAATGTTAGTTCTATGAATAAGTAAAAGGTAAAATATCTTTCAATAATTTTCCATTCACAGCTCGATATGCTTCTAAAGTTAACAAAAGCCGAAATTTGGATTCAGCTCTCATCCCTAAATCCTTGAGTTGCTCCAAGCTACAATTGTAAAAAAAAATAATGCCGAATATTACCTTTTCATCTACCTACTAGGATCGTAAGAAATACCTATCTAAACTTTACGAATTCCAAAACTTCGGTTACCAAAAACTCTTCAAGTGAGGTGGAATTTTGTCAATTTTGAATGGAAGAAAATTGATTAAATCCAGAGCAGCACATTTCAAAAGTCCACGTTAGGGCTGGAGGTTTTTTACTCAAATTAAAAATTCGCCCTTTATATAAGATAGTCCTTAACAAATACTACAATAGTTGGCTTATCCCTAGCTTTGCGTTGTCGCTGGTGGAGATGGTCGATTGGCATTTGGCATCGATGCAGTTCCAGGCCAATTACAAGCAGGAGGAACGCTTCTTGCTTGTTGTAGGCCCGCTGCTGACTCAGGATGTAGGAAGTTACGTCTTTGTTCAATTTTTTCTTGCTAAAATAATAATAATTATTGTATATAGCATACATGTCACAACTACTACTACTCTATCAAAAAAATTTAAATAAAAATATACCTAATGTAGGGAAGTGCGGTATAGGAGACGGGATAAATTAAAAAATACCGAAGTTCTCGTATGCGCAGAGTAGCTATATCACATATTTTCCGGCCATTATAAATTCAGAAAATTCTGAAGTTCGCAAATTAAATAGTTTTGGAAGTTTTTAAAATTTTAATATTTCGATGCGATTAATTTTATATTTGTATGTAACCTCGAATTGCATTACCCTACAGTTTATAAAAGTATTGAATTATTAAAACTAGATAAAACTATTCTGCTTTTTTCTTGGGTGAAATTATTTATAGTAGCCTTTCCACATACATAGGTAAATACAAAAATATACACCAATCCGATTCCATACAGGAGAGAACTCCGGCATCAGGGTATGTGATATCGTCGAAACTAGAATCGCCTAGATGTGATAGAAATATCAACGGCAAACGACTGAATCATCTACGTTTCGTTGACAACATCGTAATCGTACTCATTTCCAACAGAGTTTTGAAATGCAACAGTTGATGACTATAGTCAGTTGGCAAGGGTACCCCCCTATATATCGGAAAAAACGGACCCAGTTGAACAGGGAAAAGCAAAAATGATGACAAAGATCGACGGAGAAGAAAAGTAAGTTATCATTGGAAACCTCATTTTGGAAAAAGCCAGTGATTACAAAAACCTAGGACAGATACTGGAACTTGTTCGAAGCAACCAATCAGCGGTAATTGCCCAAAGAACAAATCCAGCATATGCATGTTTTGGCAAGTCTTTATTGATCCTCAAGGATCAAAAGATTCGACTTTACCCGAAAGGCATAGTTTTCAACCAACCTCTATTATCCACACTTGGCAACATGGCCAACATCAACACAATTGAACATATGCAAGTGTTGTGCAAATATTGTAGAAAAGATGTTATTAATTACGGAAAGTGCTGTAAATGTGATGAATTATTTCATCCTAGTTGCTGAGTACAATCGGTAAAGTTGAAAAATACTCAGTGTGTGCACGAAATCCAACAATCAGAGCGACCAACGAGTGAGGCTTGAGTTGAGGTTAAGTCTGATGGAAATAACCCATACGTAGTGGAAAACAGTCTCCTGCTTCGAGTTATTAAAGAAATGGAACAAAAATATGATATTTTGATGGAAAACAGCAACCTATTAAAAGAAAAGGTCAATGTCAAACGCGTCATCATCATCATCGTCCAATAGTAGCTCGAATGGCTCGGGAAAAGTTGAGATGGGCAGCAGGGCCAACGAGTACAGGAATATAAACCAAGAGTACTCTATAGTCAGAAGGCACGACATCCGGATGAAACCAACAAAAATGCTACTGTCAAACGTCAGTATCACGAGCTACAAAACATTCCAGCTGATACTGTGAAGTCTGCCATTGCTGAAGCTATAACCAAAACAAAGATGAATGAAGTTAATGAAGGTGTTTAATGGATAATCATAATGAAATACTCAAGGATTATGACGAAGGCTGGCAACAGGTAAAGAGAAGACCCAAACGCCGCTTTATACGGGGTGGCAACCCCTCCACCCATGAAGTGCAAGCCATTCCCAGCTGTGTTTCGCTTCATGAAACCCGTCTGCACCCTGATGTTACACCTGCTAAACTGGAATGCGAGAAACATGAATCGAAAAGGCCTGAACTTTACTCCTCGATGAAAGTCACAATCAAACAGAGCAAATTTGGTAAGGCATGGAGGAGAGAAATCTGGCCTGAAGATGCCATTGTCTCTCGGTTTTTTGTACAAAAAAGGATATCGTCAGGAACCCAAAAGTAGATGAATCCTATTTCAAAGACTGTAATGAAACAAATATAAAAAGCTTTAATTTAATTTACCAAAATGTCAGGGGACTACGCACAAGGACTTCAATTATATATGGGAGCATAATTGAAGAGGACTGGGATGCTGTCTGCATAAGTAAAACATGGTTGAATAGCTCGTTTTACGATAATGAAATCTGTGATAATAGATATGTGATATTTAGAAATGATAAAAATTATCCCCACTGCGATGTGAGTTGAGGTCGATGGATTTGTGTCACAATCAATGTAAATAATACTAAATTCTTAATATGTTGTATTTATATAAGTTTTAATAATTGTAGTTTTAATGTTTATGAAAGTTTTATTGATTCACTGTACAGTATTGACATGCTTGGTACTGAGAATATAATTATGGTAGGAGATTTTAATGTTTCAGATTTGAGTGGAAAATGCTATGATTTAGCTCGAGGTTCACCAAAGGCTCATCTCATTAACCATTAACTAAGTGAGTATGATTTGTATTCCCTGAATAATATTAAAAATCGTCTAGGCAACACACTGGATCCGGTCCTGACAAATGTAACAGAGGCCAATGTTGAGGAGGATTCTGAGAATGCGCTGGTGAGCATTGACAACTATCATCCAGTTCTAGAGATAACTTTCAGATTAAAGTCAAGGAATGATGGGGTTTTTGATAATGTTGCTGATGGCTCATTACTTATGATTTTGCTCGTGCTGACTATCTTTTGCTTTACCGACTGCTAAGTGAGCAGGATTGGACTGAATTTGCAAATGACTCCGATGTCAATCTGCGTGTACGGGTTTTTCTTATGAGATTTTTTAAATTTTTGAGCAATGCATTCCGAAGAAGAAAACAGGTAATTTCTACAGAAAATTTCCAAGAGATTTCACAAAACAACTTATACATAAATTAAGTTAAAAAGAAACACTTTTTCAAAATATCAAAAAACAATCTAAATTTAAAGCAAAATATAGAGAAGAATACTGTAAGCTAAGAATAGAAACAAAAAAAGCTTATTAAAACTTGTTGATTTGTAAGAAATACTGAACAAAATATTACCTATGATGCTAATCTGTTCTGGAAATTTATCGAAGAAAAGAGGCAAAATAGTAATATTAGTTATACCTATACATATCAAGGTACAGATTATACTGATGAATATTCTATTGCTAATAGATTTGCTCAATTTTTTGAAGATATGTACTCAGACAGTGGTTTGCCGCCTAATGGTAATATTGATTGTCTAGTGGACTATGGTTTGGATGCTTCCTCGCTTGGCATTGTTACTGTTGATGATGTTTCAGAGGCAGTGAGAAGTCTAAAACCCAAGGCATCTGCTGGCGTAGATGAAATACCACCATATTTTTATAAAGCTTATCTGAATATTTTACAGATCCCTCTGCAAACTCTAGTGAACAAATCCCTGGATGTCAATTGTTTTCCCGATCATTTGAAGATTGGTCGTATAACACCGACTCACAAGAATGGAAATATACGTCTCATTGAGAATTATCGTCCTGTGACTATTTTGCCTGCATTGTCAAAGATTTTTGAGAGAATCATACATAATAAAATTAGTCAGCACGTGCAGGGAGTAATTATTTCACAGCAACATAATGTAAAAATAAGTCAACTGTCACCAACCTGAGTATTTTTTCTGAATATTTAAGCAGTTACCTGCAGATTGGATTCCAGACAGATGTTGTGTATACTGATCTAGCGAAAGCCTTTCACAAGGTTAACCACGCTGTGCTTGTGAGAAAATTTGAATCCTTTGGTTTTGATTCAAACCTTATTTTATACTTAAAGTCTTACTTGTCGGAGACTCAAAAAGCTTTGGATCGGACCGACAGAGCTGAACTGCTGAACATAAAGGCTCTGCTACGAAAAAATACTTGTATAAGAACCAGGATGGAGGACGTAGCATCAAAAGTTACTAAAATCTAAAAGATCAGACATAAATTAAGTCAGATCTCAGATAAATTGGATCGACGACCTCAAGCGCAAGATAACACTCCCATTTAACTTCTCTCTATCCAAATTTTTCGCATTTCCAGTACTAATTTGAACAAAATCATATTATAATAGATTTTTTTTACCACTAACCTGAGCAGTGGGCATTATTCAATCTATTTTTATAGGAAAAAATTGAATTTCTCTCCCTAGGTTAATAATGAAAATAATGATAAAAAACCTAGGTCATAAATGAAAATGCCGCAAAGATATTGTCATGACGTACCAGGTTTCTATTGGTTTAATTTCAATTTCAGCCTGTCAATTAAAAAAAACAGGTTCCTGTATGTACAGGGTATCCCATTTAAGATGTTATTGGGGGTTATCTGCTAAACTCGTAGAGGTATACTTTTTTTATTTCACATTCCTGCGCTAATTTTTTATGACGGATCGAATGCCGCAAACCGCAGGTCTCTATCTTATTCCGTTTTGGAGATACAGGACTTGAAATTTTAACTTTTCGAGGGTAGTCGTTATCCCGCGTATGAAAAAAGATATCAAGAAGGAGGCAACTGTATCTGACGTAGTTTTTCACGTAGATTTCACTGGCGTGCTGGTTTTTTTTTGTTGAGGTACAGTTTAAGAAATATGACACAAACTTTATCTTTTTCAAATGGGACACCCTGTACATTTTTTCATTTTTAGAATACGCATAAAATTACCTTTCCAATGATATATAATTTGTTTATATTATTTTGTAATTTGCCAATTTTATTCTGGTAGGTATTTAAAACTTTCCATAATAATCTTTGGAAATCACATTAAATATTTGGTATTATTTTATGGTTCAATATGTGACCAACTTATAATTTTTTGATATGGATCACCCTGTAAAATAATAGTTTATTGAATCATATATTGTGTATATCGTGTATTTGTCATTGATTTTATATATATTTTGTAACCATCCTAAAAACAAATTGAATTTAAACACAAAACAAACTAAGCCAAACTAACCAAACAAAAATGTATTGACATCAACAAACTGTAACTACTTACAAATTTGAGAAACAAACGAGAACGTGAAAGAAAACCAACTATAAAAAAATTTCAAAATGTTCAATATATTTTGGTATAGTAAAAATGAGTGTTTATCAAAATTTGGAAAGGCAGATATGCT